GCAGTTGCTTGTCGCAGTCCGCTGCGGTTCGAATGAAATCTCAAGATCCATTGAAACTGCTACTATACAGGAGTTAGGTTGTGTCAAGTTCACTCATATCATATTGGTTTTTGGAGCCATTTTGGCACCCCAATTTTTTCACACCGATATTCGCTAAAACCTGACATACATACAGGGGGGGGCCAAAAAAAAAGACATTTTGCCTATGTCGGACTTCGGCCCTTTTTTCTTCGCAGAGATTGCCGTCGTTGACGGGAGTTCCTCAGCAGAGTATTCCCTAAATGTCCCTCTATAAGTAACGCAGGCCCTCCTTCACTGCCCTCACCGTCTTCAGAATATGACGTCATCTGTCACCGTCGTCAGGCTCAAGGAGGTCTACCGTAACTGCTTCAGCCTGAAGCTCTTACGCAATTTCGTGAATCGATTTAATGTTGGATAGTTTTCTAGAGGCATTAGCTACCACTATGCAAATCCCCTCGAAACTAGCTTTCCAGTAAAGGTCGTTATGGTACACGATCCTTCGAAGACCCCATTGAGCTCGACCAGTGCACCATGTTTCCAGGGCAAATTTTCTGATGCCGTCCACGTAGGTGGCCACTATGAAGATTTTCTTATAGAATGAAATGCGCTCTTCAATAATAAGTTGGGAACCATTCGGTCTGAATTGAGCAAAGTGTGCTTAAATCCATCTGGAAGTGGAGACAAAATGTCTTTTTTTTATTGCCCCCCCCCCCCTGTATACGAACATACCCAGAAGTAGCGGTGATGTAGACGATGAGATGGTTGCTGATATCGGATCGATAGCCAGCATTTTTGAAGTTGGGATTTATTGCTGTGTAGAGGCCTCTGCAAGATGAAAATTTGAATGAAATCCAGTATAAGTACCCTGTTTTACGAAAACCAGAAGCGCGTCGTGCAGACCACACACCACAAGTGACGACTGTTCCCACAAAATCTTTTCTTCCAATGAAATGATTAGCCTGTTGCAGTTGTATTCTATCAGTTGTCACTAATTACAACTATCATTTACCAACTATCAGCTATCACTATGAATCACTACTACCAGATTTACTTGGAGGCCGTCGTCACTTGTGGTGTGTGGTCTGCACTCGACGCGCTTCTGGTTTTCTGAAACAGAGTGTACTCAATAACGATGTTTTTGATAGGGAGAACGCACTGTGCCAGGGCTTGTCCCTGAGAATCGAAATCGTTGTATTCCTTCGTCTGATCGAGATAGCTCTTGAGCACGGCGATTGAGCTGACAGCGTTCAGACTTGCTGTCACCATTGGACCAAGAGCTGAGTTGCCGAAAACCGGCACCACCCCTACTCGAGTATAGCTCTGTGAGACGTCGTACGCGGACAGCAAGCTCGTCACGAATTGCGACATCTGGAATTATCATGTGAATCCAATTTGTGCCCAGATTACCCGTTTGGCAGAAGTGCAGATCTCTTTTCGAAGCTCTTTTTCGAACATCCTCCCCCACCCCTCCACCGCCTTTCACTCCCTACTCCCTCCCACCTCCAAGCCAAAACGTCTAGTGATCTAACGCAGTGTCTGTTTAAAACCTATTAGTTACAACGTACAATGCGAACGTCTACAGTAACTTCGAAATGCCTCTGCTATATGTATGCTGTCAAGAAGTTAGCATTCACCCGAATTATGCTGATAGTTCGTCTTTTGCCACATTTACTTGATATCGCCATGTGGGAGGGTGTTGGTAGGAAGGCACAGCTACGCTATATTCTCACCATCAGTGCCCTTTCACCAATGACATCATCAAACTCACTCTGCCTCTCAGCCATCGCACCCGCTGCCCTTAAAGGCACGGATCGGTGTCGAAATGGTGTGCATTTTGTTGGACAACTGTATTATAAGCATGAGGAAAATTAGTGGGAGAAAAAAACGAAGCGCCATACGAAGTTATACGAATTTCCCCCAGCAAAGGCAGCCGTGGTATGAAGGAGAGGCACAGCGCTGCGAGAAGGGGGAACGTGAGAGTCCGTTGTGCGCAAGAGGGCGCAGACGCCAAGTATGTCCCGATTGGTAAGACGACAGCCCGGCAATACACAAGTCAAAGCCTTAGCGCGCTTGCCTCGCACTTTTGAGTCGCGGCAGTGTCGCCCACCTGCGCTTGGGACATCTCTTTCTCACTCTACTCTAGGCAGGACTACTTCTTGGCACCTAATCCCGACCTGTGCCTTTAAGTTCCTATTCGAGTGGATTGTGCTTATTAGCCAGCTTCATTGGCGATCGCCTTCTCAGGCAACACCACTATAAAAGAGTTGCATAGACGTACGTCGTTCGTATCTTGTTGATGCACTCTGGCTGACATCGATAAGGATGACGACGTCGAAAGGCGATCGGCACAGGCGCCAGCGTTGTCGCCGGTGATGTGGTTGGCACCTGTGAAGGTGGGCTCGACCAAGAACTCGTCGGCTGTGGCGTTTGATTGGATGAAGAACTCGTCAGCGCTGGTGGCTGGGTGGATACCGTACTCCTAGGCAGTCCTGATGTGGCGGTGGGTGGCGAGAAGGATGTCACTAAACCATAGGTTATCATCTATCAATCAGAGATATTATAGTTTATTTTATTTGTATACATATTTATTATCCTGTTTATATTATGTTTATACCATGTTGTTAATATCATGTTTACTTTGCTTGCTTTATTTGTAGTTACAAAATCATATCCTTTTTATATTATTAATATATTTGTTATTTATGTATTATTTGTTACATTTACACTTTCCATAATACAAGATTATTTCGTTATATAATTATTTTGATACACGATCACACATGAATAACTGTAAATGAAATTAAATATATCATATATGTTTATATACCCTCCCTTTCAAAAAGGAGAAGAGCGTCGGGTGCAGACCATACACCACAAGTGACGACGGCCTCCACAAAATGTTAATGTTTTCTGCCAATGAAATGATTAGCCTGTTGCAGTTGTATTCTATCAGTTGTCACTAATTACAACTATCATTTACCAAAAATCAGCTATCACTATGAACCACTACTAACCAGATTTACTTGGAGGCCGTCGTCACTTGTGGTGTATGGTCTGCACCCGACGCTCTTCTCGTTTTTTGAAAGGGAGGGAATATTTAATAGCTATCCAAGATGCAAAACTTAAGATACAAAAATTTCATGTCAAATTCAAAAATTATAACAAAAATCCCGTTTCACACATAATATAAAAGAAGAGCAGTGAGGTGCGGCGAGGTTTTCACTGCGACAAAACGATTCAGATGACTTGTGTATAAACGCGAGCCAATCATGGGCGCACATGGGGAAGGTCGTTAATCGATAAAACGATTTTGTCGCTATGCTTTGTCGCGACCGCTCGCGTCTGGCTCTGTACAAACTCCTAGACAAGCCACATGGGTGTTAAGAATTCACTGTGGAGTATTATCAGCGGGATGAACTGGTGCATTTCAGGGACAAAAATCCCATGGATCAATGCTCGCCCATATAGCACTCACAGTAAGGCAGGCTTCCTCTGTTGTGGGGACACTGCGAACCGCGAAGGAAAAGAAAAATGTGAAAATAAGATAAGTCCTTCAAATTTCTACCAACTATATTTTTTCCTTCAATCATTTCATTTTTTCTCGTTTTTTCCTTCCATTTCTCTCCTTCAAACATTCTCAAGGCGAACTGGGGCCAAAACCAGCAATTAAGGACCATAAACAAGTCAAAACAAATATCTCATTGTGAAAGGGTAACTCGATAGATAAAACCTAAACACTAAGGCAGAATACGACTCTCAAAAAAATTCAGCATTTCAAAACGAATTTTATAAGGCTCACTTGGATTAATGGGAGTATTGCAATAAGTGAGCTCTTGTCGACGGAATGGCTGGCGGCTATCGTCTTCACCATAAACGAACATCGCGATTGCTTCACTCGTACAAGTGAACGGATCGGAGTAATACTCGAACGAGCAGTTCATTCGTCGATAAAGCGGCGAACGAAGCAGTACCTGATTGATATTGTAGGCTCAGAAGGAACATTTTGCATGGATACGGTAAGAAAAATTTGGAAATAAACCTGTAGACTATCCGGGTCGAAAAGTTCGATTTGCTTCAGAACCGAACCCGGTGTAGCATCGACGTGCAGTGTCAGGACGTTCGATACTGGAAGGAGAAACTACCGTAAACTGGCAAAAAAATATATCAATTTAGTTGAATCCTAGAGCTTCGGACCACAGTAAACCTGTCACTCTGAACAGTTTCAGGAGTTTCACGGCCCCATCCTTCCTGTGAGGCGACGGAACAATTCTTTAGTTATAGTACCTTACCCCAGCCCCTCCCCCCACCTACCCACCATCCCACCCAATGATGACAGTTTGAGAGGATAATTGGAGCGGAGTTAGTGTATTTGTGGGTCATTTCAAGTACAATAGAGCCTCATAAGAGGAACACACCCCGCTATCGCACTAGAATTAAGTGACTCAAAAATACGACACCCTCACCATTCTCTCTCCCCCCTCGTCACCATCAGCATTTTATTGGGAGACCCAGTTGAAATACTTCAGCTTCGCTACAATTGTCCTCTGGAACTGCTGAAATTGCCATCGATTAGGGTGGGATGGTGGCGTGGGGGGAGGCGGAGTTGGGGTAAATGACCAAAAAACGGCAAATGCTACGATTGCGCCTATTTCAGGCATTTTTTGTGATAATATACAAAATTTCATGAGAATTATTTATTTTTGAGCTTTATTTTGCATTTATTTCACTAGGCAAGGCTTTTGAAGGCTTAGGCTCTCTACAAAAACTCTGCACTTGGGACATTCTCACATCATCAGAATTTCAAACGAGCAGAATATTTTGCACTGAGCACGCCATGGTTCGGAGAATTCTCAGTGAGGACATGAAAAGGGTTTCCCACCTAGCAAGGGAGTATTTGCTGAGAATCACTCTTGACGACACGGGTGGACCCGCCTTCTGCATGTACTGTGTTTACAGGGTAATTGTTTATGTTGAAAGCTTCTTTGCAAGGGTTACAATTATTCATCAAATTTTCATTAGAGTCAACTGCCATAAGTATGCCTCAAATGTTAACTCGAGTCCAACGGCACGCGCGGAAAAAATGAGTGTGTACAAGTAGCCCGCTCTGGGACACGTCCCATCCAAAAACCCCCCTCTCAACGACCATGTTGCCATCGCCGGCCGCTCAAAGGAACGTACTTGCGAAGTAGATGCAGAATCGCACGATTCAGTGGGACAGAGTAGCCGAGAAGTTATAGCTAGTGCTTTAGTCACGCTCAAAATGCGCGACAATGAGACGCTACGGGTCTTACAAAGTCAATTGGCGACAAAATCTTAGGCATGCGAGTTTGCTCTGCGCACGTAACGTGACACGCAAGTGGATACGGCGTGGCGGCTAATTCAATCAAATTGTTCATCGCGGAGGAAGTTAGGGCCGGGTAGCAGGCGATTCGTAACTCGTCTGGCCCCACCCCTTAGCTCATCTTCAAAGGATCCTTGCTTCAGGCTTTATGACGCGTTATTCTCTGAGCTTCTGTTTTTCGTTTGTAGTCAATTGGCTCCATAGATATCATTCAACCGTTTAGCAGTTCCCGACCTTCGATCCGGGGTGTGTGATTTAACTGATTCATTTTGGCACACTTCGAAACTCTCCCCCAAAACCCCAGAAGCGGTCGAGGGGATTATGTACAATATGACGGTGATGGAGAAAATCCCCGAAAATACCCAATGTATTTTCCGATTCTCAGAAAAACTGTATTCTTCCCATGTATACAGGGTGCGCCAAAATTACGGAGACAACGCATGAGCAAACAATTTGAACTGATATTCACAGATGCTGTTTTCTTCTGTCCTAGTTTTGGTACTGTGGTGTAGAATTGTTTATGCTTACCTTGTTCAACCACCAAAATCTATGGTAGCTGCAGCGGTTGACTGATACTGACACCGTCCCTAAATCATTGGACTTCGACGTTGAGGGTTTTTGGCACGCGACAATTATCATCGTTTTGGTGTATACCCGAGCACTATCAATAGATGCTCCAAGTAGTACAGGGGACAAGGAGCTGAATGCAGTCATTCTGGATGAGAAGGGCGTGTTTCTGTGGCGACCACGAACAATCTAAGGATTGTGTGCGATAGAATCTGCAGGTAGTTGACGCGCTGGTTTCACTGGATGTCACGAGAGATAGGAATCAGGGGGGCTCTTTTGGATTTATCAGAGCCCATTGCTAACCTGAGTTTATTTTCACTTTGAAAATCGTTGCTGGGCCTTCCATCAAGTAGGAGCTCCCGTTTACGAGGCAAGGGTGGTTCAGTACTAGTGCAGCATTGATGCAGAACCGATTTTTTCGACTTTGTCGGCTTAAACGGTGGTAGAACAGCATTTCAGATCTGAGCTCGATAGGGTACTGTCGGATCCGTTCTAGAAGCTGAGGCTTGCATAAAACACATTATGTCTAGGGTTTGTGTTGAAAGAAACCGCTCTAAAATGAGCTTGACGAGTCCTACTCGCCACATTGCGTGCCACAGTCGATGGTTCCTCGATGTTTCTGAGGACCCGTATAAACACAAACCAAGGAATTTCAAAAATTGCATGGATGTCGACGATTCAGAATGGGACTGTGCACGTCACTGCATTTTTGTTTTCAAAGAATTGCACCTTGCTCATCCTAGGCAACTCGAAGTCGCTGTCTCCGTAATTTTGGCGCACCCTGTATCTCAGAGTGATTCATTTTCAAAATCGGCAATATTAGGTATCCTCGTTGCGGATTAGTTCTAACTAAAGCTGACCCTGCTACCAACTCCTTATTCACGAGAACACACCTTCTCGACAGGAAGACATGCTTTAATGATTTTTCTAATTCACCACTAAGCAGTATCCTAGGTTCCGTAATGCTGCATATGCGTTCAGAGATTACCTCCAACTTCTGGTGATCCGTTGTAGCCGTCGATATGTGAGGCGGTTGGATCAGCGGAGGTGGTCTCGGCGAAATCATAGTAGACTTTTGCACCACGACAGCGAAGACGATAGAAGAAGGCAGTCAGCGGCGCAGAAGTAAGCTGAAATAAAGCCTTTTCAGAACGTTTAGAAAGGAAATGATGTGTTTCCTTAACGAGATATCACACTTGAGACGTCCATAGGATCGAATCCCGCTTTTAACGTCATCAGCTGCCCTTAGGTCTGGTTTTTGTGATCTACTAGCTCTTGAGAAGTGATCCTATAGGGTACCCGACAGGAGGCCCGTCGCGCGGCAAGAAGGCAGAGTCAGCGGACGAGTCGCAGCGCGTGATGTGCGATGTAGGACGTACAATGGTACATTCTATTTAACTTGACGCGAAATCACTACAGTACGCGCTGCGACTCGTCCGCTGACTCTGCCTTCTTGCCGCGCGACGGGCCTCCTGTCGGGTAACCGACCCTATGTGACAAACGAATCCGAAAATAAGAGCACTCGTGTGAACTGAGTTTGAGATCCATGGGCTAGGATTGGTATAAAGCAGGGCCAGGAAGAGATATGATATCTGATCAGCGGTAGGTCGCACTGATCTTTGGCTTTCCAGGCTTTGACGAAGGCGAGCAAGCCGATTTGTTAGCCGAATCAAGTCTTATATCATCTTGGCCATGGCTGCGAAACACTCAAGAAAAACTCGGGCAACCATTTTTCAACTTTCGAAATTTTACTTTCCCAAAAGGCAACCATTCTAGCCTTCCCAACCCCTAATAATAAGCAGACAATGATTTACAGGGACATGTACGCCCAGAGTTTTAATGTGCATGTGCCGAGCGCAAAGTGAGTGGATGGAGCATGGAAACTGGGCGAAGTTTGTTACCAGGACGAGAGCTTACCTATGGTCACATTATTCAAATGGGTTTTTTGAGAAATGTTCTGCGATGTGTGGTATCGATTATTTTCAATTTCAAATGCATAATATTCCTAGTACTGTTACATTTGTATAATAACACTTATTCCGGGGGTTGCCCGCATATGAAATCAATAACTAAACAACAAAAACTTACTGATAGAGTATAAATTCCAGGTAATCGATCCACATCAATCTCATAAAATTGTGTGTTATTGGTTTTATAGAGGACGGTGGCTGCGATCTCATCTGCAATGAAGAAAATTTCGAAGGAGGTTTAAGTTCAATTTTGGGGGGTATTAATGAGGAAATCTTGTCCATGTGTGACGGAGGCGTTTTGGACACTTCAAAAAACCAAATTAAGGGCGGAGTTAATAAAGAAATGGCAGCCTATTAGGAATCAAGGTAGAGGTGAGAAAACACACCAAGAAACCACCTGGAACCCGAGAAATGGGAACCGTTGCAAGCTTGCTGATTTGCGCATTCATCATTTCTCATCAATGCTGTCCTCTTCAATGCTAACGCTCTATCTCTGCTTGAACGGTTAGGAGACTCAGATACGAAAAGGACGCCAAAAGGGGGTAACCGCGCCAATTGGACCGCTTGGAGGGCAGGGCTAGACTCGCGGAGCATACCCTCAGTGACCAAATTGTGTCCGTTGTTGTGGTTGTCGGGCGCACCTTAAGCCCGCTCTATCTCCTTTAAGTGAGTTTCTCCTTCTTCGACCTTCGGTCTTTATCGGAAATCCTCCTTCAATTCGCATATCATACCTTTTATTATTATTTGCAAGCGATCTGATTTTCATTAGATGTTGTGGCGTAACTACGCCTAGTAAAAAGTAAACAAATAAACACAAGATCGTGAAGAGTTACCTCTCAGAGGGCTCACAACTCCCAGATTTCCATAGGTGGCTGAGGTGGTAACGTAAATCCTCGTTGTGGCATAATCCACCTCCACATACCAATCACTGGGTGTTGAACATTGGAAACTCTGGTGTCCGGTAGGGTTCGTCAAGACGTATGATCCATACAGCGTCGGTAGGTAAACGGAGAACATCTGAATACATCAGCGGATTAGCACTTCTGAAGTCGATCTCTAGGCACAATTAGAGGCTCTAAGGCAGAATCGTAGCCACCTGGGAGAGATCTGAGGGAGCGATGAACAGCACGTTACCACTTGACGAATAGGCAAGTCTGGTTTGTTTGCGTGAGCGAATTATCACTGGGAGTAGACCCACAATCGGACGCCGAGTTGTAGATGTAGGTGAACTAAAACTTCTTAATCAACTGCCTCATGTGAACATAAATTCAAATTATGTTCAAGTAAACAACAAATACAAACAATACAAAAACAAATAAAATAACAATTGAACAAATTACTTTATATTTTCAGGTTTAGTTCGAAATCTGCGTAGTTCATGTCCCTTGTGAGATCCCGTTGCTTTTTGCTCATCAAGGATTACTGACTGCTTGGGTAAGGCATGATCACGACGACTAGCCAACGCGATGAGAGATCTCGTCCAAAAGTGACCTTCAAGGATGTCATCAGAGCCGTACCGCCCCAGCTACCGTGGTCACAGTCTTGAAGGCGTGCTTTTGGACGGTTTCTATCCCTTATTCAGGCTGAAATTATTGTCTGGACGATTTTGGGATCGGACTGAAGTAGCTTTGAACCTCATCACAATCTTCAGGTTGAAGATTATGAAGGGTGAAATGGGAGGAAAACTAATGGCTTAATTAAAGCACACCTCAAAACAACACCCCTCCCCCAACCAAATGTGTGGGATCACAGCTACCGTTGCGGGTGCGGAATTGGTCAAAAAAGGAAAAGAAACAAAGAAAACCGTCGATGAAACCCTAAAAAAGATTCATCAGAAAAGGAGTAGTGGGAAAGAAATAAGGAAAGGGCGGGGCCAGACGAGTTGTACGAATTTGCCTAATTGACCCGCGCGTTTTGAATTACCCTTGAGGCTCGCTTGCACGTCGTAAACTACGTTGGTGTCATGGAGGCTTGTGCGCTACGTAACTGGCCATTACGTTAATCTAGCCTCCATAAGTTCCTTTATAAGAGCTCAGGGCCCACTGGCGCGCACTTTCAAAAGCTCGCAGCAAATGGCACAATCTAGTGATATCGTGCCCTCTCTATCCCCACCCCATGAAAAGATTGCATTGAACGGCTCCGGGGCTGGCGGAGTGGTTGCTTCCAGAGTGTTGAAAAAATCACGAACCCTAATGGTGGCCAAAGTGTAATGGAGAGGTTGAAAAATATTCCACCATAAGTTAGACGGAAAAATGGTCTGACTTAATCTTGGATCCTTTGTATTTTTTCCCCCTTCGAGCTAGTGTGGCTTTAGTCTCAACTGTCCATTAGCCAGTCAGGAAGCGTTGCTGGAAAATTGGCCGTTATGAACCAAGTACTCCTCAAGCCCTTTAACTTTTTGCTTGCTATGGCTAGCGAATTCTCCTCAAAATCACACTCCCCTAGCAAATGAAAAGAGCGCCGAGAAGACACGAACTCACATGAGCTTGGACATTGGAGATGAGCTCCACATCTCCATCGCGTACTTGTTGATCACTGACACCAGCCGATGTGACGGCGAACACTTCACTATTTGGAGAGCATGGATCGTAGCTGGAAGGAAAAGAGTCCGTTACGGAGAGCTCGTTAAAATCAAGGATTCAAAGATAACTTCACTCAGAAAAAGATGGATTTTGAAATACTCGCCCGTAAAGCGGCATACTACATGCGCCATTGTCGGTCATTCTTCCTGCTGCCGAGTTCAATCCCATCACAATGCAATCGATATCGATATGTGGATACGGCGATGTGACGCCAGATGCTGAAGGAAAAAAAATTAAAATTTAGTAGCGGCACCGAGATATTTTCATTTAACAACAAATCTCAAATAAAAAAAAAATAAAGAAGAAAAATAAATATAATCAAATATGTTTCAAATATTGAAAGATATCATATCATAATATAATTATCAAAAGATGCTGAAGGAAGAAGATTTCGGTAGCGGCCACGGGCATATTTCCAACAAACACTTACTAGTAAATCAAATATAAACAATAAATAGTAATAAATAAATAAGTAAGTGAATAAACAGATTTCATTATTGAAATGGTGCCACAGTGGCGCTGAACTCACAGTCGTATGTGACGAGAGCATAGTTGCTGAACCATTGGGCACTTTGAGGAGCTCCATTAACTATGGTTGCCAGATTCGCAACTAACTGAAATCAGAACTCCATAGATCACAGATCACTGACAATGAGGTAGTTGTTTGGGGCTCATGTCCTTGGGGGTGGGGGACATCCAACAACAAGGGCCGATGGTAGGTGACACTACATAGGTCTGAAGCCCAGGAGTGGGGAGAAACGCTAGGGAGCACACATATTACTTGCATCCTCCCAAAAATCCCTCATCTGCCTAAGGCTTCAGTCCCAAGACGTTTGCGAGTACTTTAAAGGAATCTTGCGCGGAAAAATCATGATTCTATTTCAGCCATAAATCACTGGCTTGAGACTCATTATCCACGATAATAGTGAAAAGAACTGAAGTATTGCTTTCGTTTTGATTAGAAATTCGAAAACTCGAAAAGGCTGCTACGCGTTCGAATTGCCCACGGACGTCTTTCACGAATGCTGGCGACGGGGATGCTCAAACTTGGTTCTTGGAGTGCATTCACTAGAAGCTCTTTCTGGCCTTCTGCTTCGTTGCATTCACATCTTACACTTCTACTCCATCCTATTCCATCGATCGATTTGTCTCCACTCTCCGAAATCGCGCGCTTTAACCCGATTCTCTCATTGCGTCGCCTGGTACGTAGCCGGCCAAACGCCGTCTTCTTTCCATGCCTCGCCTGGCTCTGCCTCCTGGTCCTTCGATGGTCCATAACGTGTAGTTTTTGTACGTTTGTTTCTCTTCAGAAACCGAATCTTCATGCGTGAAACTTTGTGTGCTATTTCCAGTGATCACAACTGACATATTCATGTTAGGAAAGAGTGCAAGAATTTTCCGCGCAAGATTCCTTTAAACTCGCCTCCCAAGGACATGAGTGCCGTGTGTTTGAGTTATACTTGCATAAGATGGTTTACTTACAGTAGTTCTCACAAGAATGCTGAGTTGGGTGGCAAAACTTTCGCCCCTCCCGAGATTCGTACCGGATCTCTTGCTTTCCGGACAATTGTATCCACCAGTTACATTGTGTTACGTGTGTGTAACTGGTAGCACAATTGCCCGGAAAGCAAGAGATCCGGGTACGAATCCCGGCTGGGGCGAAAGTTTTGCCCACAACTCAGCATTCTTGTGATAACTTTCGCAACGCGAACTGCGGCGTAAAACAGCAGTTATCCAACAAAAAAACAAGTCGAGATTATTATAATTTGTCTACTGTCTGATTATAGTGAAAAGATACTGTTCAAAGTCTGACGAAGATGCGAAATGCCGAAATATTCCAAGGAAGTCTTGGGACATTTTTTGCAGTTCTAAATATGTGAGCTCTTTATAGTTGGACCGTGAGATTCAAAATCTCAAATTGCTGCTGATCAGGGCTGCATACGCAAAATGCTCAAAATTGCTACTTCGTAGCTTGGTACGCGGATCACATACAGGATCGAATTTCGTACCATACCAATCAATATCCATGGTATCGGTAAAATGGTGAAAAAATTGTGTGGAAAAGCGAAAGCGCCGGCTTTTACTCTGCTTGGTCTCTCATCATAGGTCTAATAATGCCATTACAATTCCGGATGGTGATCAAGCGCGTGGCGCAGTCCCAAAAAGAAGCCAAGTCGAAAGTCAAAGGGGTAAAATTTTTATTTCAACTCTGAAAAACTATGAGAGTCCACATGTTGCGCTTCAATGGCCGCGATTCGCTCTGTGTTCAGGATCATAAAGCTTGGGTTCTCGCCGATGCTGCCAAAGTAGACTATCTTGGCTTCACTTCTGTTATCGCGTCACGTGGCATTTTGAGAGACCGGATTATCGAGCGAAACTGCTTGTCTTTTCGTATCCAGAATCTAAGTTCCATTGATTGTTTGGATGTCATGGTCGCAACAGTGTCTATGGTGTTTGTGTTGTTTTTTTTTTAACGTGTGCCTTATTACAGAGCGTAGAAACATAATTCTACTAAACCTAACTCGACTTAAAGTGAGCAACTTTCTTGAAGTTTGATCCAAAGCCGCCAAATGAGCTGGGGAGGTTCGGCTCCGATAAAGAGCAGGTCAGAGAAAAACTCACCACGTCGATCATTGGTTTGTTCTGGAAAGTGGTTTCCACGACAAGTACAAAAGTCTTCGCATTTGGTGAGAAGGTGATCGGTGTCTGGCTCATGCATAACTCTGCAATTTTTTTATATTCTAATGACTGGCTCATGCATAATCTTGCTTTTTTTATTCAAATGAAAAGCCATCAATAATATCATCATTTATCGTCGGAGTATGATTAGCGTCACGCTTTTTCAATTTGCAACGATTCAATTATTATGTTTTTCATCCTGCTATCATGTGAATATGACTGGATATACTATTAAAATTTATGTTTTCAGTAGTAGTACCGTAATGTTAGATAGCAGTATTATTCTAGGAAATGTGTATTGTGGGCGGCAGTGGTGTCAGTAGTGGCAAGTTACCACGCTTACTACGCGCCGGGTTACTGAGATTCGAATTCTGGGGCGATTGCGTGCGTCCGGCCAACAAGCACTGCCACCTCCGCGGTCGAATTAGTAGGTACCAGGCCTCTTCAAAGATAAGAAAATGCTGACCCGTGGTACATCAGCTGCGCCCCACAGCATGGTATAGGCCATAACGCCTTCATCATGCCCGCTCGAATTGTATAGAAAATGGAAGGAGAATTTGCTTGGGCGATTGGGCTTGTCGTGATCCATAGCATGTAATGCTTCTCCACCAATGATGTCTTCACATTAGACTTCACTTCAAGCCAGTTATAATCACTGACTTTGACACTCTAACTATCTCGAAGCTTCTTCTTCACCTACGTGACAATTACCTTAGAAGGGTTGGGACAATAGGAAAATAGTTGGACTACACACATCTTTTTTCCAAAATTTTCCTTTTTTTTTGTGAGCGACCCTATCCCCTTAGCTAGAATTTTTGGGCGTAATGACAAGACATTATAGTGAGAATAAGATCAGTGTACTTGGATTCAGACGTACCAAACTCGCAGTGTTCGCCAGAATATCCATCAGGGCAATCACATCGCCTGTAATCCGGGCTAAGAACTCCTCCGTTCACACAAATCGGTATATTGCACTGTTTTCCTGAAATAGATTCTTTATTTTCAAAAATCAGTAATTGCACAATCTCTGATGAAAAACAAGTTTCTTATGGCGGTGAGTCGACAACATCGAACACCGGAACCATCTTATTTTTGATAAAGTAAAAAGTGGAGAGTAAAGTAAGTAGTGAGTAAATTGACAAACCTGTCCAGTACTCAGTGCAGATACAAAGACCTTGCCAACGCACTCCACCGTTGCAGGAGATTGCTAAAAGGGTTTGGATTGCCTCTTAAAGTTTCTAGCGTTTTACGGGGGAAAAACAAACCAAAGAAAATTGGAAAGAACTATGAGAAAGAGCTCACTTTCCCTGGAGCAATGGCCGTAGGTCACCCTTTGGAAGAGGTTACCGTACTTATCCTCACCCATGGTGCTAAAATGTGAGTATTGGTGACATGGGGAGAACGTCAAATAAAGAAAAGAAAAGAAAAAAGAGAATTGTCATATTCGTGAACCATCTCTGGTGAGCGTCATGCATTTATTTGTTCATTTATGGTTACTGGTATAAAACCTACCTGCTCTGTCTGTTAGTGCTAGGACGAATTGGCTGCACCCACATAAGTTGGTATCCGGATCGTTCTTACCAAGGTCTGGCCGGCCCGCTTTCACTACTCCTATTGTTAAAACTAAGCCATCCCCCTTTCCTTCCCTCCCCTCTCATCGGTAGTGGCATTTCGCGGTTAATTCTGGTTCATCATACGGTAACTACTGCTTAATAACTTCGTTTTCATTCTTACCCTATTCCGAAACCCTTCGCGATGCAATAGCTGCAAAGATAAACAAATAAATAAATAAATAATCAAATATATAATATGCCCACCTCATAGCTTCGAAGCTTTGCGTGTTCCGGTGGGAATGGTTCACTTTTACAGTACTAAGACTGGATAGAGAGATATTTCCTATCAGGACACCCGATCATACAATTATTGATACTAGCACCCTTATCCCTGGCTACCGTGACGGTGAGCCACATCGAGATATATTATCCGCGTACCCCAAACCTACTCCTTCCTTGACGGGGGTTTTGTGGGAATGGGGCACAGGTCGGTCTGAATCCGGGGGCCACATTCCGGATCGAATGGCGCTCAAGCCAACCAGCTCTTCCTTCCCTCCAGGGTCGTTTCATTGGTACCAGACCTGTCTGGTAAAAAGGAGCGCCTACACATTGTTTACTTCAACCACTCTATGGTCTGAAACGCATTTGGAGCACTATCGCGATTCTCGATGGAAGTAGAATTCATGGCGCATCCCGAAAGGGATCGATAATCGCTGTATGCTTTAAGCTTCCCTGGCTCCATAAAACGTTTCATTTCACCATCCGAAGGTCACATCACATATGCTGGATTAGTAAATAATTAGGTATTATAGATGAGTAAGAAAATACCGTAATGGTGAATTCATTGTCGTCAGAGTCCGAATTTGGACAACTAAACGATTGAGTCTGCCATGGATACGAACATTGAGCTCGCTGACTGTATGTTACTGCGTTGTAGAACGTTCCTGCAACAGCCAAAGTAGCAGTAGATATTTTGAAAACCAAATCCTATTAACATTTGATTGGCCTGTGCATAAATAAACGAAAAAATCGGGCGATTTGCCAGCGTAATTAATCATTATTATTATGCAATTATATTTACTACATATTTTTACTACTTTTTTTTGCTGTTCCAAAGTCTATTTCCAACCTAAACAGGAAATTACACAAAACTCGAATCCAGTAAGACTGCGAAAAGGCTTAAAAATTAGAAATTCTCTGGAGTGAAGATTTGGCGCTATCGCAATATACGGGGGCATCCTTTGGGACTCAGCCTAGAGGGGGGAAGGAACTCCGAAGAAAATGAAATGGCTCACGCACCCTGGAGTCTCTCCTCCCCTGCCTAAGGCTGAGTCCCGTTTTAACAAAAAGGAATGTTTTCGCGGTTCAAATGCATTGCCACCACAATGCCCCCGTATCTTGCGATAGCGCCGTGGATTATTTTCAAATATTTTTTTTGCTTTTTCGTGCAATTCAACAATCAATTAAGTGATTCAATTTAGTTAATTCAATAGGAGAAAAAACAACTCTGAATTTTCCAACAATCCTCAAACCGAACCATTGGCAGCGTCGTTCAGCAAGGCGTGAGTGAGGATAGGGCTACGATGAGCGTTGTCCAAGCTGTGGATGTAGGTGATCAGACGATTATTCGCTGAAATGAACACCAATAACTTTAGCGCTGAAAAATGGCCGAAAAAATAAAACACTTTAATGTAGGGACCATTACATAAAATCCAGTGATCGCATCTCAAAGTCGTTTCTATCTTAGTCCTTTTTTTTATGACGACCTACGTGACTGCTTTCAGCAACCTTAGACCCCTTTGCGTTCTTGACGGCTTCGATTCTAGCCGACCACAGGCTAATCGCTGACCAGCCGCTTATGGCACCTTCTAACCTACTTAGGCCCTGAATGTAGAGTCAGGGGGATTTATGGCGCATAATCTTGCACTTTCATCCTAATCAAATCATATTGGTGTGAATAAGGTAGCTAAGCTAAGCTGGACCAGTGCTACACTATACTCACGCTCCGAGGATCCAGTTCCACCTAGGCCAAAACATCAACCTGTTGAGATCGATCATTAGTACCCAGTTTTCTGTGAGGACACCTACTCCAACCTTTACATCAGTTGGTCATCACAAGTCACTGTATACAGCGAATCGCATTCAAATACCCTACGAAACTGAATAGAACTTGAATGCACGGCCTACTCGGCAACGATCAATCATCCGCTATGCTAGTTTCAAAATTTGGCGCTCATGTCGTTGTGGGTTGGGAGTGGGGGTGGGAGGGGGGGGGGACATGTGAGTTCCTAACCTCTATCCCGCCAGAAACGCAGGCCATAGGCGCCCAAAATTTTTACGCTCTCTCCCCTCTCAAAGAAGTATTGACATCCCAACATACTCCCATCACCAGTAGCACCGTTGCAACTGCCTCACTCACCGCGCGAGAGAAGTGGGCGGGGGGGGGAGTGGTGTATACTCTAATACTGTTGCTTATTCCTGCGCTTTTTTGTGAAAATTCTGGAAAACCTCCGTCAAAAACGACTTCCGTTTCCTCCTACACCCGACGCGACTCTCTCTAGAAACCTCAAGTACGGCCTTCCCATAATCATACCAATACCATAAAACAAACAATACCATAAATACGATTGCGCTCCAAAAATTCGATATAATATACCACCCACCCCGCTGAACGCGGCAGAATGGATGGTTGGCTTGTTCGTCAAGCCGAGTGTTGTGCTACTGCTTACTGTTTACGAGGGTAAACAAGGATAAATGCTCACGTGAGTCTTGAACTGGATCGTTGTCGGGTTGGTCACCGGTAACCGTGGTTACAAAACCAGGTACAATTTGTAGATCACTCTGCACACGAGCCTGTACGAAGCATGACCGTTGTGTGCTCGGAGCCACCTGCACTGTTACGTACCATTTTCCGGCTGGCAAATCTACTGAAAATAGACTTCTTTCAAATTGGATTATATTATTTACTGAATCCATCTCTGAAACAACTGACGTTCACCGATAACATTCGGACGGTGGTCTGGATCGTAACGATGTTTCTGACAAGCAAACGACCTCTTTTCGGAACACGAGCCAGGACTCCTGCAAAACGTAAATGAGCTTAAAGCAACAACCCCAGATGGAGTCGTGTCGAACAATCTATCCGGTGGGCAGGATGGAGTTGCCCGCGTGTATCGCAGCCGTGTCGTATTCGCGGCTCGGTGCACGACAATGGCGCTGATTTGAGCACGACAACGCCTGATGTGAGCTA